TTTCTCGAAATTATAACTGCCAACAGTGACGTGGGAGCCAAGGCGCGAATGTGCTGATTGCTTTTTTGATGACAGGAAATACTTCGTCTTGTCCTCGTTTGCCACCAGATCCATTTGCTACGCTGCTATGTCCAACTTGGAAAAGGGCAGAACAGACTTCGCGGTTTCTCTTACCGATGGTGCCAGTGTCATCGGCATAAGCCAGCTCATGTAGTAAATTGTTCCTGAGCGGTTCAGTTTTGCAGCTCTTATTATATTCTCAAGCATCAGATTAAAGAAGTCCCATGAAAGGAAGTCGCCCTGTCTGAAACTCCGTTTGGTGGCGAACGGCACGGTGAGGTCTTACCCAATTCTGGCAGGGCAGAGCTGGTGGTATTGCTCAACGTCATTTTACACAGACGTATGAGTTTTGAGGGGATGCCATATTCAGACATAGCGGCGTATAGGCAACTCCTTTTAGTACTCGAAAGTGGCTTTAAAGTTGACAAATAGGTGGTGAGTGTCGATCCTTTTCTCGCGGGTCTTTTGCAAGGTTTGGAGAATTGTGAATACCTGGTATATGGTGGATTTTTCAGGTCTTAAGCCACACTGATAAGGTACGTTCAGTTCATTGACAGTGGTATTGAGTTTTTTACACAATACTTTCGATAAGACCTTACAACCTATGCGTAGAAGTCTGATCTCGCGGTAGTTGGCACGCATGGTGGGGTCGGGCAGAGCGGACTTTGGTTCCAGTCGTCGGGCATGCACCTTAGTAGCTCCTTGCCATCGTAGTTGAATATCTCAGCTGACAGGCCGTCATCTCAAGCAGCTTTGTTACTTTTCATCAGCATAATCGCTATTCGTACCTCGTCATAGTCAGGCGCTGGGATATCGCCTCCATCGTTATCGACTGGGCACTCGGGTTCATCTTCTCCACTTCTTTCAGTGCTTCTGCCATTCAAAAGGGTCGAAAAATGTTCCCTCCATAATTTGAGTACGTTCTGGACATCGGTCACTAAGTCACCATGGTTGTTCGCTCAACTCTCCGCTAAAAATATGGGGTGTTTTATCTGTCGGCCAGCATTTCAAGCATTTTTCTCTGCAGCTTCTTGACACTCCTTATCGTACCGGTACCGAGCGGGAAATGTGGTTCCACTGCTTGCGTATGTCGGTTTGTTTGTGAAAGAGTGCTCTCTCACAGCAGGTGTGAAAGTCGAGCGGCAAATCCATTGGCCGTTCGTTTTGATTGCAGCTTTTCGACGTTGAACTTGCCTTGCATTGTTAGGGCCNCGCGTATGTCGGTTTGTTTGTGAAAGAGTGCTCTCTCACAGCAGGTGTGAAAGTCGAGCGGCAAATCCATTGGCCGTTTGTTTTGATTGCAGCTTTTCGACGTTGAACTTGCCTTGCATTGTTAGGGCCCCTTTTTTCGCTGCACCGAGGTGGGGTCGTATATCGGCTGCATCAATATAGTGGTACGAGGCGATGTTTGGCCGTCGGAGTTTACGTATGTACATCTAAAACACTGGAAGCATGCCTTCTGTCTGTCACAACATACTCGATTTGGTTTCCCGTTTTTCGATCTGGAGACACCCATGTAGCTAGCTGGATCTTTTTATGCTAGAACCCAGTACTACATAGTGCCAAGTTTCGTACCTGGGCGAAGTCGATCAGCCTCAGCCCGCCGTTTCTATGTGGAGGTTGAATTTTTGGGCACTGGCGCCAAAACACCCTTCGTTGCCCACCGTGACATTTAAATCGTCAAGCACGATCTTTATACGTGTCGGGGCAGCGCTAATATGTACGCTCTAAGCTAAGAGATCCTTAGATGCCTCGTCCTTCTCTTCCATCGGGGCATTGGCACATATGAGCAAGATGTTGAAGAATCTCGGATTGTGGCTAGACGTTCGTCCACTGGAGTGAACGCCGGTCTCTCTTCCACCACAAATCAAACACCGACTTGCGCCCCTGTACGTGGCAACTGTAGTAGGCTCCACACCTACCTTCCTCGCCCCATCCATCGCATTTCATGGATAGCGGTGACGTCAGCCTTTGTTTTCCCTAGGACATCAACCAACCGGCAAAGGCACCTTCCCGATTAAGGGTTCGGATATGCATGCCCTCAAATCATAGTCTTTCCTATGTTTGCCATGATCGTCATCAAAAGAAGGGGGTATCATCCGGGGCATGTGTTGTTTTTTCATTGGGCAGGGTTTTAAAGTGGCGGGACCAAAACCCAGCGCGCGCGCGGTGTTACGCCCTCCCAATTTAGGTCGCTCTCAAACTAGTGGTCGGTCGCTACCTAGAGGATTCATGAATATAAATATCCGGACGTAGTGAGCTGCGATTTGAACCGTAAGCATACGAATCACTTGATGTAGTTCTTAAATCCATAGCTCTAGAAACCTGTATAAAATAGACGGACCAGACGTTATTCAAAATAAAAAATCTAAAAAAATAAAGTTCTCCGTATACCCTGTAATAATCCTCCGCAATTTTGTAGGGTAAACGTACAATTTATAATCGTTGATTGGCAGCGAAATATATTCTCTTAAATTATATACATATGTATGTATAAATATGAGGAGGTATTGAACATTATGAGTATGCAGGTTTTTTATGCTGGTATATTCATTTATGCTAAATATATTACTTTATTTAGTTTTGTCCCACCGTGTAGTAAATAAAAATATCATTAAGGGCCCTTAACTTATCTATTTTAAAGTATAGTTAAATCATTAGTTAAACTTAACTACAGTAAACTCTTTGTAATTTTTCTGTAGTAAACTTTAACTAATGATTTAACTATAATTTAAAATAGATATATTAGCAGCCTCTAATATGCTATTTTTATTATAGAAATTTATGTCTGTAAACGTCNAAATACAGAAATAAGCCAGCAACTATTCCAGCTTTGGAAGACAACATTTCCGAAGAAATTCGGGCTATTCCGGCCGAAATGCTCGAAAAAGTTGCCCAAAATTGGACTTTCCGAATGGACCACCTAAGACGCAGCCGCGGTCAACATTTAAATGAAATTATCTTCAAAAAGTAAATGTCATGGACCAATCTAACGTTTCAAATAAAGAACCGATGAGATTTTGCAAATTTTATGCGTTTTTTTTAAAAAAAAAGTTATCAAGCTCTTAAAAAATCACCCATTAGTTCTTAAATCCATAGCTCTAGAAACCTGTATAAAATAGCCGGACCAGACGTTATTCAAAATAAAAAATCTAAAAAAATAAAGTTCTCCGTATACCCTGTAATAATCCTCCGCAATTTTGTAGGGTAAACGTACAATTTATAATCGTTGATTGGCAGCGAAATATATTCTCTTAAATTATATACATATGTATGTATAAATATGAGGAGGTATTGAACATTATGAGTATGCAGGTTTTTTATGCTGGTATATTCATTTATGCTAAATATATTACTTTATTTAGTTTTGTCCCACCGTGTAGTAAATAAAAATATCATTAAGGGCCCTTAACTTATCTATTTTAAAGTATAGTTAAATCATTAGTTAAACTTAACTACAGTAAACTCTTTGTAATTTTTCTGTAGTAAACTTTAACTAATGATTTAACTATAATTTAAAATAGATATATTAGCAGCCTCTAATATGCTATTTTTATTATAGAAATTTATGTCTGTAAACGTCTTGGCTGTTCACCAAACCGGTCTATAGTTTTATCAATAATCTCAGATTGGTTCTGTGATTCAAAAATTTCGATGTACGCTTAGAAGACACAAACCTAAGGACAAAGTAATAAGCAATTGAACTATAAATTTATTTATAGTTTACCGTGCAATCCATTTTCGTTCATTGCCGACTGCAGCCAGGTTTTTACCCTTTTTAAATATCCCCTTATTTACAAAAAAATTATGAATTTTGATATATTGCTGGTCTTTCTGTTTATTCTTTTTCTAAATGTAATTCATCTATGTATTCATAAACCAAACTATTATACAGTTAGTTAACAAAAAATAATAAAAATGTACATATAATGTTTACATACATACAGTGCGAAAAAATTTTAGTCGCATCAAATTTTTTATTTGAGTTATTTTTTGATTAAAATATAGTTACTTCTTCAACAAAAGCCGTCTCCAAGTTTCAAACTTTGTGCAATATTTAAAAAAAAATCAACAAACTTTCGTAAAAATCTTAAGCATTTTAATTAAATTTTCGAGAAAGATTTTGGGTATGCAATTTTGTAGCCCACACATTTCAAGTATAATATAGTGAAAGTTTCAAGTGTCTAAAAATTTTCGTTTTAGAATTTTTTTGGCGAAGGTGTTGCGGTTTTCTTCCATATAAAACTAAAATGTGTTATTTTTGGCCATTTGAACCTTTATTATATGTACTAGAACCAAGGCGAATTTTCATAAGGTGGTGTTGTTTCATCAGGTTTGAGTAGAGTTTGATTGCAAGTGAGTGAGAGAAAACGTGAGAGTGTTTGTATTTTCTGTCGCCCTTTTTCCTTTGGGGAAGAATAGCTGAAATTTGATAATGGCCCGCTAAGCAAAAAAATACAAGTAATGGTTGTATTTGTTGAACCGATTCCACCTTATATAAATTCGCCTTGACTAGAACTTGACGAGTTGTACTTTTTGGTATCTAATGAATGGAGAATTTTGTATATATGATTGCAATTTGCTATTGTTTAATATTTATTTAACGAAAAGCAAAAAATCACAGCCGATGGCGGTAAAAATAGAAATGTCAATTGACAATTTGTAAATAGTGCTGCCATTGTTCCCAACATTGCTGCAAAAAATTGCTGACTTGAATACTTAATAACGAAGGTTATTATCGAGCAAGCATTTCCTGGTACTATTTTTGAATATCTACGCAAAATTTTGGAAGTTAGGGGGGGTATCTGGATACGCCCTTGCTTTTTGGGCCATACGTACAAGACATATATTAATTTATTAAATTTGATTGCGTTTTACTACAAAATTAATATATATGTACTATACATGTATGTATAACTATATACATATCTTCCACTTACATTGGATATCAAGCATCCAGCCATCTTCCAGTGGTGCTGTTATAACAAGATTATATGCTTTACATGAGAGATATTTCCCGGCATCAGATTTGTCAAAAGTAATTGATAATGTACTTGTTGTCTGATTTCCATCGCTTGATATCTATGCAGGGTTATGTAAAGAAAAATGTAAGAGAGGATTTAGTTTAAGTTTATAATGGATAATAATAAACATAATATTATCCCTGTTTCTTTTTTTACGCGATAACGTATCTACACTAAAATTTATATGGCATTTATGGAAAGCTAAACTCCAAGTTTTGTGTTCGCTTATGAAATAGTGGTCGATGTTTTATCAATCTTTATATTATTCTTAAACAAGGCGCTTATTTTCAGCGATCTACAAATCTAAAGTAAGCTAACTCAAAATTCAGAGAGGGGAATATATCTGCAATACAGGCATAACAGTAGTTTTTTAGTTAATTTATATAATCATGAAGTCCTATATAAGTCCTATGAATCCATTATTGCAAAAAAATAGCCATACTTTTTTTTTAGTTAATCGCACTTTAGATCTAGGTGTGCGATATGTTCGTCTGACGCGCAGTATTTCGCCACTACCGCTGCACATATCAGTTCGTACTTGAACGTCGGCCAGTAAACATGAGCTTAGAAGCGGATGATGAGGTTGCGCTTATGGTTACGGTTATATTATACATACTAACTGACACGGAAAACTTCGTCCAGCCCAACACCATTTTTTTTATTTACATATGCTGCTCTGCTTTATGTACATAAAGCTGCTCATTAACTTAGACGCTTTGCAGAGGGGCTAATTCCCTAGATAATTACCAATCCTTGAGAATTGTGGCTACCTGAACCACTGATTGGTCTTCCGATCGGCGGCATAATTGTTTTCAAATGATGAAAGTACAATGTCAAAGAATTCAAACTACCTTTGAAGCAATCGAACCATAACCGCAAAAGAAATGCAAACGCAAAAGCTTCTTATTTTGTCTTGTTGATCAAGATTGTATCTTGTCTTTTTCATATCCGGCAACCGTAAATGGAATCGCTAAAAATTTACAACGCCCTCCAGTCAACGAAACGTACATATTTTTTATTTTTATTAACTTTTTGCATTGATACAATTTTGCACGTCCAAACCGTTTCAATTGTACGATCAAAATTAAGAAATTTTAAAATATTCAAAAATTGTATGTATTACAACGCTTTTTTCAACTTACAATCTTGTTTGTCCAGACACTTTTGCTATAATGAAAGTTCCTATAAAACAGTCTAGAAATCAACCTCGTCGGTAGGTATTATATTAACGAACATACAATTAGACACTAGAGGTAGATGTCTCCTCGCCGGAAGTAGTTGAATATTGAACAACCGGGTTATTATTACTGCGTCTATGAATCCCAGTCTAGACATCAACCTCGTCGGTAGGTATCATATCAGAGAACATATCATTAGACACTAGAGGTAATGGACGACACGCCATTTCTTTAAATGAAATTAACTGGTACTCGTATATATGTACATCAGTGTTGCCAGAAGTGTATTATCTTCAAAATGAAAATATCTTTTAACAACAAAATAAAAGCCCATAAATATTTCCACATTGAAGATATCTGGCAACACTTGGAGATTTATTTTTTTTGGGTAGCTGGCGACAAATTTTTCGTTTTTGTCATCAATCTTGTGTTGCTATTGTCAAATATGGATAGCAAAAATTATCCGTTGAACTGCGCGCACTATATACTCTCTGCTTTTTGGTAGGTGACAGCAAACATTAGGTTTTTGTCATAAATTTACCTTTCGGGACAGGTAGATATTAATTTTTATGAATATGTTTTCCACTAGATTTTCGGTCATAATTCGCGCTCAAACTCGGCTTTGTGCCGCTCAAACTAGGCGTTATGAATTTCCTAAGATAAAAATTATGGATCGATATTTGTTAAAATAAAAAGGTAAGTAATTTTGGTTTTTAAATTTAAATTACCAAATTAAATTTTCTATAATTAACTTTAAAGAAACATCATCATAATCATCAAATAGCGAGGATAAACATGATGGCAGATGTGGTAAAACAAGAATCGATATATGAAATTTTCCCAAAAACACCCCTCAAATCTCGATTTACCGTTAGAAAACCGGTTTTTTTGTATTTTGCGCACTTATAAGCCTGTAACTTAGTTGGTTATGAACCGAGTTTCAGTTTATTGCCGGTTTTAAAAAGAAGAAACTTGGGCCTGACGTGCCTGGGCGAAGTCTCTTCTGCTAGGAGTTGTCTGTTTGAGTGACCACGTCTGTGGCTCCGTGTAGTGATAAGCGAGAAAGCGCGGCTATATAACCGTTTACTTTCGAGCACAAATCATCAATTCTATTCCCAGACACTATGATCGAAAAATCTTCAGCATAAGAGACAAAGGAGACTCCCTCTGGTGGGTGAGAGAGCTTTGAAATATAAAAGTTAAACAGTATTGTGGAAAGGACACCACCCTGTGAAACCCCTTGTTTTATTTTCCTAGGTTTTTCGATTTGTCTCTAAATGTTACTGGCGAGTGAAGACCACTCAGGTAATTCCCCGACCACCGTTTGAGTCCCTGTTGAAGATGGGAGGCCTCTATGTCCTCTAGTTGCGTTGAATGGCTGACAGTGTCGAACGCCTTAGACAGGTCCAGCGCTACTAGAATGGTTCTCTCACAGGGGCGGTTTCGGTTAAGGCCACGAGTTATCTGGGTATTTATAGCGTTAAATGCTGTGCACTTTACGTAACCCATGCTGATGATTCGCTGGGGTCAGGTGGTTCATAAAATACGGGAGTAGCAAGGCCTCTAGTGTCTTCGCTACCGGGGAAAGGAGGGTTATCGGACGATAAGACTCTCCTTTGTTGGATGGTTTCCCCGATCTAAGCAGTGGGACCACTCTCCCCATCTTCCAGATGTCTGGAATGACGCGGGTGGCCATTGACAGATCGATGACTTCTGTTGGGTACGCTACTTCCGCAGGACCTAAATTTTTCAGTACCAACATGCAAATTCTGTTGGGTTCAATGGCTTTGGGGGATTTCGCCTTCCCATTGGCTACCCTTACCTCACCGCTGGTGAAAACAAGAGGCGCACTAGGTTTTGGCAGTTTGTGCAGCCTTCTGTTCACTCAACGTTTGGCTTTATCCACTGGAGGATGCAATATGAACTGCCGGCTAAAATGGAACGCGCATCGCTCCGGATACGACGAAGCGTAGTCACCAAAGTCTATCTCAACTCTGTCATCACGCTTCGTAGCGTTGGACTATGACCTCACGGTTGACCAAAGCTTACTCACACCAGAGGCGAAGTTGCAGGGTTTCAGATGCTGTTCCCATTTCCTCCGCTTATGCACGTTCACAAGTTGCCGAATCTCCGAGTTGAGATCCCTGATACGGGGTTTTCGGGATCGGCCTGACGAAGGTTGTCGCCCTCATCGGCTAGGACAGCCGCTTCAGCAGGAAAATTCGGACGGGGCCGAGATGCATCCCGCTGGGACGAAGCGAGCTGCAGCAGCAGTGACAACCCTTTGGAATTTACGCTCACCTAAGTGAGTTTCGGTTGATGTTTGTAGCGCAGTGAAGCCGCTTTCAGTAACATCCGCGAAGCCTTTCCAATCAGCTTTAGAACAGTTGACATAGGTCCGGTGATCCGCGGAAGCAAAGTCACTGGTTTATCAATCGAGATGGCTATGCGCAGATGGTCTGATGCTAAGGTCAGCATAGGTCGCTATGATATACTGTTTACCAGACCAGCACTGANCTAAGCCAATAAAGTGCTTATAAGCAAACTCAAGGTCACAGATGAGCGTTTTCCGTTATAGGAGGGCCAAGAATCCTCGCTATACCACAGGAAGAAAAGTTTTCCCGTACATTGGCTAAATGAGTCGAGTGATCTCTTGAATATCGTTGAAATGAAGCCATTGATATACATACCTACCGTGTTCCTTCTTGAACGGATGTGGTCGAATCTTTCATTGTCGAGTCGCCACTTTTACAATTCGTCTTAATATTTATGAACTGGTACTACTGCAATAACAGCCGCCCGAGAAATTTCCTCAATCGGAGGTAAATGCAAGATCGCATTGGCGCCGAATGAGCTATATGGTTTAAATGGTTTATAACTTTTTATTTATGCGATTATTATAATTTTTTTTTAAATACAGTATATTATTGGGGAATTTTTTGCAACTAGCTTTGAAAAATGATATCCTGTAAGTGATGTCCATTTTCTGCTCGCACATACGTGCTCTTTTTAGCACATTTTCCATAACTTTTCGCAGAATTTCGTGTGTAATGGCCATGATTTCATTTCGAATGTTGGTTTGGAGTTGGAGAATGGTTCTTGGTTTGTTAACGTACACTCTTTCTTTCAAATATCCCCAAAGAAAACTGTTAAAAAGAATTCAAACCATATAGCTCATTCCCAATAGAAAACTGTTAAAAAGAATTCAAACCATATAGCTCATTCGGCGCCACCCAGTATTATAACCAAAAATTTTAGGTCCTTTTGGCCGAAATTACAATTTTTTTCAAGGTAAAATGACGATTTTTCAGCAAAAGCATTTGGCAACGCTGCTGGCAGGTCATTTTCAGGCGTGGATCCCGTTGGCATAGAGTAAAAAAAAAACTGTTATAAAGAATTCAAACCATATAGCTCATTCGGCGCCACCCAGTATATGAGGGCGTCAAACAAAGGTGCGCTAACTCAATTTCATTTAGGCATCTGAAAAGTAAAGACATGGATATTCTATATATTTCGGCAGCAGCGCCATTCATTGGATAAATTTTCTGCAATATAAGCGATATGAGAAATTGCGTTTGTATGGGAGGTACCACGCCCCCTTTCCAATACCTTCCACTTTCCGTCGTGAGCACAGTAAAAATAACATATCGTCGTTTAGAATACAAAACCGCGTATCAAAAACCGTATATATGAGGTTATATAAATTATTTTCTAGAGAGTAAAAACACTTATATTTTAAAATGGTTTTCTTTTTTATAAAGCAATCGCATTTCTGGCTAGTATATTTCAGGACGAATGGATAAGGATTGACCAAGAGCTTGTGTGAGCAAATCCAATTTTTGGCAGCAAATATCAGTTACGCGGTTTTGCAGAATGACGA